CTGAAAGAACAAATAAACGATATGATAAGTATAGATAAGTGTGTATCCGAAACGTCAAAATGAAATTTTGATTATGACACCTTGTTGAGGAAAAAAGTGGCAATGTCAATGTATTTTTTGTTTTGAAGTGTCACCTCAAATAAAGCGAGCAAAAATACGAACGATTTTAGGAAAATTCGTTTTTTTTTGTCTATTCAACCGACTTCGTATTTCTCACCGATATCCCAATGGTGAAAGTCGAATTTGAAACACTCGGTACATATTTAATTTATTATATATTTATCGGTGTTTTTTCAAATCTGCTGCCAGTTGCTTCAACATATTGCAGAGTATTTACTAATACATCACGCGGATAGCTCAAGTTTCCATTCTCAACAAAATTTCCATTTTAAAAACCTGCCAACTATCATTTCCGCCAGGTTTTTTGCAGACAACCATAAATCATCATGATCGCAATGAAAATGCGCTTATTTTCATATAAGATTTATTTATTAAACAAAAAATGACCAGTGTCAACATACCTGCTTATACCTGCCAACTCAGGAAAAAAATGGACATCCGATGGTTTGCATATTTTATAGGCTTCATACTGACAGTCGGTATATAAATTATTCGTTAAGCTCATTAGTGCAATGTTTAATAAAAAAGTCACTTAATTAATCATAGTCTCGCCCGGAATTTTTCAGCCAACCCACTAGCGATACATTTTTCAACGTACTAAATCTGTTATTACCTACTTTTTATTCATTAAATAGATGGGCAAAGGTCGTTTTTAATTCGTATCTTCTATATCATGATATCAGGTATCACAGATATTTGAAAATAACGATATCGGCCATCTCCGTGATCTCTCAATGCAAGAATATGTTCTTGAAGAGTGCTTTTTCAATAGCCTTTCCAATCTTTTGGAGTGGCTGATGATCAATGCTTGAAAAGTTTCCAGCTAAGTCGTACAAGGAGCCTAAAAGATTGAACAAGTTTTCATCAGGGCCAACTGAGAGTAATATGGAAAGCTAGAGGAAGATGGCGATAGTTGGGATGGTAGATCATATCTAGGATTATAAACAGAAAAATATTTCATTTTCTAATCAGCTGTTCACGTTAATATATGTTAAGATGTAATGAAATCGGCAAAAATAGTCGTCTACCTATCTGCTTTTGACAATTTGACCTCCAGCCACACATGTGCCGCCTAGCGGGGGCATAATCGAACCGAGCTGTCATGTGACAGGCACGGGTATCACGTATCTTGGAAAGTGACATTATGCCGATTTTTGTTGACATTATGATGTTTTTTTTTGACATTATGTAGGTTATTCTACAAGATGTTAACTTAGCACTTAGTTGTACGTGTTGCCTAAACGTCATGAGGCTTGTTGTCAATCTTTGGCTCTGATGTGTGTAAAATCTACTTCTGAGATGGCATTACTGGAGGTCTAAGCTGTAAGTTGTATGTGTTGATGATAATTACATTGGGTTCTTGTCTCAAACACACTTAATCGAGATTCAAAGCTAGAAATTAGTTGGGCATCCACTTTTTCTTACCCATTCTGGAGATTACATATACAAACTTGCTGAATTTCAAAATGAGAGAGACAAGAAATAATTATATACACTGTACACTCTCGAATTACAAGCCATATACATTCTAACAGTAATTACACACGGGCGCAGTGATGATTTCCCGTAATTCTCCTCAGTTTTTCGTAATCCATAACTTTGAACATAACCTCTCTTCAGAAGGCACAACATATAAATAACCCGTCATATTCGGCATATGCAGAAATGATTTTCTCACACAGCAAATATCACTGATTTTATACACATGCAGACCAATACACTTAATCATCCAGATGCGATCTTGCTATTCAACCAACTTTTTTTATCAGAGATAAACATTTAAGACCCGGATCACGCAGCCTCACAAAACTATGCAACCACTAATGCGTAGTTTAGTTGAGCGATTCCTCCATAGATGGACGTTCACAACGATCCTAGTGAGCAAACGCCGAATAACTGTTTGCGCCCTAAAAACTACCTGGTCTGCAAGTTGACATCTTATAGGTTTTTTTGACGTTTTATAGGTTTTTTACATGATACCCATGCCGAACTGTTCCTGATTTTTTACCTGATAATAGTGGGGTTGAGAATTCTTACTCAATCAATTACGAAAATAGCAGTGCATCTCACCGTTATCATTCAATAAGAAAGACCTCTGTACCGCCTGGATTATTTTGGCGCCGGTTCAAAACCTGAAACGTAACCAGCTTGGAACAACGTTTACATTCTTGTGACGTGCAGTTTACACACTCGTCGATAACTTGTTGCGCAACGCAGTATTAGGAGGGTTTGAAAATAGAATACTATTACCTTGACACTGATTCTTATAATTATTGAGGTACTGACATATGAATTACCAGTAATAAAACGTCAAGATACGTATGCAGCACAACAAGTTGCAGGCTCATGTGCCGAATGGATCTTGCAGTCAACCATCTATATAACTGAAACATCCTGTAAACTGAAATATTTACAGGTACGGCGCAAGTTGCGGCACAGTCCATTGCGCACGTCACTTGGCGCATTGTGTGTTCGGTGCTTGTAAGGCGACATGTTGCTTACTGCGCAAAGTGGTGACACTGCCACCTATGAGCATTTCGCCAAAGCTTGATACATTCCGACATATATGTCAGTAGCACTAAACGACATTCGCATCCCAGCGTCTGTGAATGACAGTCCGCTTCGATGAGATGGAAAATCATTGCCTACGACAATAGGCGTCTCGTCACTCAAGGCCCCTATCGTCAGTCATCCCTACAATTGTAGGGCGCGTTTATGGCCTCTCTCTCTCTCTCTCTATATATATATATATATACAGGGTGACTTCAAAGTTGAGTCATTTATTTTAACAGTGAGTAGATCTGATCAAAAGAAATGTTTTTTTCCTTTAACATTTTTCTGGTAAAATTAAAGTAACAAAGTTATAGCCCTTTAGAAGTTTGATTACCGCCCTGTCTCAATAATAATATTATGTGCTCGTGTTTGGCAACAACGGATATAATCCGCCTTATCCGTTCATCGTATCGGAAACAAAAAAGCGAAAGAATTTGAAACGATGTTTTTACTACAATGTACAATCTTATTCAGTTGTATTCAGTCGATGTGTCAGTCGGTAACGCGTGAGTGAATAGTGGTGTTTGTTGCGTGGCTCAAACGAAATAAAAAATGGCACATGTTTACGAAAATGCTGAATGTAGTACAAAGGGCTCGTGAATCAGGTGACTTAAGACCTCACAGGGGAGGGCATGCCGGTGCTCCAAGACCGCACGATCAAATACATGTCCGCACTGAAATACTTGTCGGGAGGATACTTTATAAAACAAGGTAACATTTTTTTTTTAATTTTTTTTTTATTTTTACACACATATTTTGGTTTATCTTCCTTCTACAATCATTATCTGAAAATTAATGACTCAACTTCAAAGTCACCCTGTATATATATAATTACTTTTGGTCATCACGGTGGCCTTGCTTCAAGGTGCAAATTATTGACAATTACAATATGCTTGTATTTACCTGTGTTCGAGGTTTATGTTTTTACTTGTTTTTCGGTACTATACAGTGTGTTGCGACAACTACCTTGTACCATGCCGAGATCACGCAATACCATCATTACAGTTTTAAGACGGCACCAGGTGAAACCAGCAAAGCCAGAGATCGCCTGGGGTGGGCATTCCCTCTCCAGACGATCAGTCTTACGTAGCGATAAGGAAACATGAGGTTATCTGTCGTTTTGGATGCACCAGACCAGGCGTTCTCCGTGAGTGCGAAAACCCACCCTCAAGTTTCTAATGCTCAGTTTCTTACACACTTCCATAACTAAATTTCCTTTACGAAGTGTAATAATACAATCGATCAACCATTATGACGATTTTATTGAGTTTCCAGACAAGTATTTCAACAAGGGGAAGGTTGATATTCTTCAAATTTCAATATGACTTACCGCTTTATTACCATTCAAACTTCATATGATCGTCAATTTAAGTATTTTTGTAAGTACGCTCTGACAAAATTGAAATTAGAAATTAAATGTATATGTTTTGTGGATTATCACAGCAACTAAATGGTATATATCGTTACTTCCACAGAAACATGTGTCAATACAGTACCTCAAACCTCAGCGAACCAAAATAATGCAACTTTTCCACTTACTTATACGATGTGTCATAATTACAGTTATATTAATACCGCTTTTTATATATTTTTTTGTGAGCGCAGGAGATGATAACGGATGTTTTGGCTAATGAATGCTTGTTTGTATCCTGTCAATTTCACTATTACGAGGAGGTTCAGGAAAGCCGCTCCTCTTAGCACTGTGTTTAGATTCGTTTCAGTATTCCTGATTTATCTGAAATATACTCTATATTTATATATGTACGGCATTGTGTTAAGTTGTATGTATATTCACCATGTAATTGGCTGTAACTGTTGTGAAAATTCCAAACATTTCTGTATATTGTGACAAAACACAAGTAGCACCTTAAGGAAGACCACCTTGTTCGACCTACAGACTTCTTAACATATTTAGCTGTCAATTCCAATTCCACCCTATTCAATCTTTTCTTCGAGAAGTACATACACCCACGGATTCTGTTTATCAATCACGTAGATAGCCTTCTATGAACAGCAGCGAGCATGGATGATGTAACACTCCAAACACATAAGCAAATAGTCTAGATTTTTTCCAGCAGGTGTCGCGACTGCCGAGATATGTTCGTGCCAGATCAAGTCCTCGGTGACCTGGACTCCGACCAGCCGAAATGAATGATTCTTTGGCAGAACTCAGCCATCCATCGAAACCGGATAAGAGCTAGGGCTGTTTCTGCTAGACAAGGGTAGTACTGTTTTTTTGAAAGCGTTGTTCGTCCCGAAACAGTGATGGGCTCAAGATTTCTCGTTAAAGATAAAGTCGCTGCTAGTCTTCTTCGCTCCAGCTCGCCGGCAGAGATCGGCTTCGCACTCCCAACTCCTCCATGTAGAGTGCTGTCGTTAGCAAAGCTGTGGATTGGATTGATCATATAGGAACGTTGAATTGTTTGTGCTTTTAACTGGGATATCAAGCAACACACAACAAATCAACAATAAATAACATATATTATCATTAATCCTAGGTTTGTTCAAAATAAATAATAATTTCCATTCACTCATCACAATTTTCATACACATATTCCACATAATTAGGAACTAGCAACTCGATCGCACACCTTTGCGCAATATTGATGTTATTCTGATGTCCAAAATCTCATTCAGCTCTTTCCTTTTGGATAGAACCTTCTCTACAATCTGGCATTGTCCGCCTTCACACACATCGTCCCTCAGGATGTTCAAATCATCCAAGACCCTTTTGAACTGTTTTATCAGCTCTGGAGTCATATCATTGATCATTTTAACGGCTGCGTCTCTGTTATCTTCCACAATAAGGCCCATCTACACAGCATATCTTTACGGCATTTTCTACGTATTTTCTTGGTGTTCAAGATGAACGGGTTGAATAGCACAGTGAATGGTGCGGGATTTCTCTCAAATACGTCTTCTGTACGACGCTCCAAGGTGTTTCTGACGATGTTCCAGTCGTTGGCATTTTCAACGTCTATGCCTATCTGTAAGGACACTGCTTTATTCTTCAGAGCTTCTGTTATGATCAATGTTGGAACCTGAGAGGTAGAGGAAAAATGTATTAGGACAAAGGCAAATAAGGCACACACCAGGTCTTACAATAGTTCCAGAAAAAGCGTTTGACGTATGACACCAGATTTTATTAGCAGTTAAAGAATGCATTATTCATCTTTTGATAATATTAGTTTTACTTATATGGCTTTGCATGTCGACTTATAGTAAACTGAATGTCTGTCCCGTCCCATTGAACGTGAAAATGACGAGAAGCCCGTGTAAAAAAACTGATAGTTCAAAATAAGCAACTGCATGGAAATGTGGCTCAATCGACACATTTTCGATCGGATAACAAGAATTGTAAAATTGATGATTTTCCGTGATTCATAGAGATTTGCTGATTTTCAGAAATGTGAGAGATAAGAAAAGAAGACACCTGGATAGTGAAGAATATTACAAGTAACGTGAGAAAATATGCTTTTTCAGACAGGGATATTTAGAAAGCTTACAAAAGTTAATTCTGTTGGCCAGCCTCTCTCCAGAAAGAACAACGTAAATAACCTTTCGGGCACAGCTAATAGATATACTTCATTGGTAGCATATTCAGTAATAGATTTCTCACATAGCCTATATCACTATATTCACATGCAGAATAATACATATAACCATCCAGCTGCGATCTTGCTACTCAACCAACTTTCTTTGTTTCACATCTTCTCAGAGATAAACACTACAGACTACTAGGCTTTTTGCAACCAACAAGCAACCAACAATGCATTTCGTGTCGTTGAGTCATGCCTCCATATAAGGACGCTTTTGATGGCGCTCACAGCAATCATAGCGAGCAAACATGGAACGAACTATATTTATTTGCATACTAAAAAATACCTAGTCTGCATCTTGTCGGATTTTCTAAGTTTTTTGGATGCCATGTTGTAATCGACATAACTAATTCGTACATAAAGTGGATAAAATGTGCCTTACTGCCCTGAAGCATGATGAATTAATGCCTGGAAATCCTATCCATAGAGTATAATTCTCCGTCAACGTGCAAAGTAGAAACGGCACACTTTTCATGTTTATGATATAAAATAAACGTTACACATTCGTAACTTTTTTCTTTCTTTCAGGAACTAAATAAACGTGTAGCCTAAAATATTCCATGAAAAATCATAGTAAAAAAAATTAAAATGCCTTCACCAAGATTCTTCGTATTACGAATCGTAGTAAAAAATTGTTAGGACTCTTAAAAATTCAAAATGGGAACTCATACAGTTGCGACTCGTTTGATTCTCCTTGTATTCTGGCTATAGGGTCGGATATTAAGTTAAAAATTACCATGCGTAGGAATTTTCTGGCAACTGAAGCGGCAGGTCCATGGTAAGCACTGTAGACGTTTGCCAAACGATCAGCGACGAGACTCTTCCATGAATCGAAGAAAGTTGCCGGCAATGGACATTTTTGTACTGGGTTGATCTGATTGCAAGCTGAAAACACATAGTTACATAAGCCCTCTATGCGCCTAATAGCATGGGCACTATCTTGGCATCTGTTGGGAAAAATACTCTGATTCAGATTTTTCCATAATCTTATTCAGAAAGGGCTCATTCCAACGAATCTGCATGTTGCCAGAATTAGATTTGCGTCCCAAAAACTTGTAAACATTTTTTTTACAAATTATAAAAATTGGTGTTTAAGATCCTCTAGGTTTGATCAAAAAGGTGCTATAGAACTTTTCTCTAAAGTTGATAGTCTTCGAAATATGAGCGGTAGAATATTTGGAGAATATTCCATTTTCGACTCCGAAAAACAATATGAAAAAATTAAAGTCTTAATGTTGCAAAAAGTATTCTTCAGAGAAATTTATTCATACAATCAAATTTATTATGCCAAGCCTACTAATGCATATAGTAACTTCCTATTATACCAGCCTCAGGAAATATCCGAAACATAACCGATGTATAGTGAACCTAACCTAGAAAAAACAGAATATTGCTTGAAATACTATATTATATTGAACAAAATATTATATATTTTATTCACTGAAACAAAGCAGCTATGTCATATTTAGTAAATTTGAATGCCAACCTTTTGTCATTTCTTTGACGAAATATTTTGAGACCGAACGAGATCACGGAACTCCATTATTGCCTTTACAGTCCGTAAGAGGGGTATTAGGTAGTAAATAGAATTGATACTAGCTCTAGCATTTATAAAACAGACGCTCCGTAATGTTGGTTGAGGTAAGGCATCTAAGACATAAAGTACTCGTAGATTATGTAAAACGTCCTAGGATCTAGTAGCTTTGATTAATCAGGCAACCATGTGCGTCACTGTCATTATATGACGTTGTGACGTAACTGCTATGATTCAGTGAATAATCTATATGTAAAATATTTCCCCAAACCAAAACGCCAAGCCAAACTATAACGATTGTAACATCAGTCACAAAGCGTAATCACATTAAGTAATGAAGGTTGGTACCTAAGGAAAACAACGAAATGTAACTAGAATCCACCCAAAAAATTGACGCAAAATCAGAACAAGCTCTTTTTGGTAATTTTTTCATAAATGAAGACATTGGTGACAATTTTTATGTTTACACGCTTAAGCTTCTTCAAGGTCAAGAAATTGCTCGTGTAAAGCAGCAAGGATATCAATTAACAAAGTCCCAAAGCATTACAGGACGTATTATTATTGTAAACCCTTGTTTTTAATTGTGAATCGAGCGCGCTGTTGCTTGACAATTAAAAGAAAATGTTCACAATAACAAATAGTCCTCAGATGCTTTGGGATTTTGTTAATGGATGTTTGAAGAATATTAAGGAACATTGACAACATTAAAATTTTCGTTTTTTCATATTGTTATTCGGGGTCGAAAATGATATTTTGTATCTTTCCAAATATTGTATCGCTTATATTTCGAAAACTTGAGAGAAAAATTCTAAAGCACGTTTTTAGGTCACAATGTCCGAAAACCGCAAATTAGTTAGAATCCAGCAAAGAAGCAACTTTTTGAATTTGCTAAACAAATAACAAATTGTTATACAAGTGTTTGTAAAAAATAATAAACACACATTAAAAACAAAAAATACTAATGTCATTTAAAATTGAATACTGTCAATTTTATCGTGTCATTTTCACAACTGAATTCAAAAAAATTCCACAACCAGTTTTACACTAAGATATAGTATCCATAATACTTCAATTCCCGGCATTTCAGCTCGCTGACTTGAACCATCCAAAAATAAGTAGGCTGGACCTTTTTGATTCGCACTGGAGAACCCAACTAGTGTAAGATAAAAAGCAGAGCTTTTCGGTTCCATCTAGCAGGGTTAGAAACAGAACCGCATTAAAAAATATCTTTGGAGAGTGAATTCCGCAGGCTAATCTAGAGAAAAAGAAAATATTCTCACTGCTTTTAAACGTAGTTTCTGACTTGAAAATATTCCCACTGTCTTCTTTTGAATCACACTGTATGTTATTATGAAATGTGGTGACAGTATTGCAAATAAAGCATGCATTGTCACGCGAATCCTGTTTGGATAAGGCGTGTTTCCATGTTGGATGACAGCGGCTGAAATAAGCCGGTATGAATAGCCGGAAATTCTATGCTGGTCTCCATGTCCTTTATTAAAACTGTCTTTCAAGCACGCGTTCATTTCATAAATAATACATTTTATATTCAATACACCAACCCGTTAATTTAGTACAGGGGGAGATGCTAACTGGCAGATCGCGTAGCTTCTGTATGTATTTACGAAGTTTCATTTAACTTTGAATATAATATAACTTCTGAAAGTTGTCCAGTGGTTCTCTTTTAATCCATTATCCATTTTCTCTCTTAGACTAAGAAATATGGAGATTTTCTATAAGGAAGTCCTATAATTTTGGCGACCGCAAAGTTTTGGAGGTATCGTTAGATATTGTTGCTTTCTAATGATAAGTTCAAATTGGCGTTATTATTTGCTGAATAATTTACCGCCATTTTGCGTTTCATCGGGAATCTCAAAAACAATCCATCCTAAAATAGTAATAGAGACAATCTTTGAAGAGAAATTGAAGGGTAGACGTACATCTAATGTTTCCACTTATAATTGCTAAGCTAAGAATCTAAGAGTAAAAAAACACTACTATTTTTTGTAGAATATTTTCTGCAAAAAAGGTCTTTTACATTTTTTTCGAAACCTTGATAGCAATTAATTAGATTTTTGAAGTACTTTCTTCATAATTTTCCCTAAGCTACTGAAAGAGTGTTTAATGCTTTGGCCCACATTTATTCTTGATAAAATATAGTTTAGTAATCAAAGCTAAGTGATAGTAATGACGTAGGTAGTAACTACGAGTACATATATCATTTTGATGGATCTTTGAAAATTTGTTTCTACTACATACAAAAAATATATATATATTTTGAAAGCTATTTGCCACTGTAACGTATCTTACGAGGATCATAAACGGTGCGACACGTGCAAAAGATTTACTACTATCGGCATGCACATAGCGTAATTGGTTGAGAGCTTTGGTAGTGCGACATGTATCTGTGCATTGCGCAGAATGCCTATATAAGAAGTGGAGCCTTCTGTTGACGCAGACATTGTAGTATTTGAAAATATACTAGTTTCTTTAAAATTTTAACCACATGTATGCACTGTTACGAAAGAAGTTGATTTCTCAAAAAAAAAAATGTAATAAAAGTCCTACAGAAATCCAGATAATAAAATAATATGTAATATGCGCCAGGCTGTAGTATGTGACACTTCTGGGACCTGTTGGGCTAACTGCCTTGTGCTTATTCCCGGACTTTCTCTCACAATATCCAAAATTTCGTCTTCGGCATTTAAAACGCGTTGTGGACGAACCAGACCCCCATCAACTCCACGTCTGGGGCGCAAATCTCCACTAGCACGTGCACGTAAAACAATAGAACTAAATGTTTCGTGATGTGGTATGTGCCTATTCGGAAATCGGTGTGCATACAAACGAGAAGCCGCTCGCGAATTTTGCTCTGCTTCTCCGCACGGTAAAACAATGTCCACTAACTCCTCATTTGCGTACACATGTGGCATTTTTATTAATAAATAACTAAAAACATAAACTCGCAAAATACTATATTTAACTTCAAAAAAATCGACCGTTATTCATTCAGCTCAACCACGATACAGATTAAACCTTATTTACACATTCTTATCAGTATGAAAAAACAAAAAATGTATGGTATTTTGTTTCCGTCTAATATCACGACGATGAACGCAGAATACAAATATTTATTTTTCAATTTATTATTGTAACTCAGGTTCATAACTTAATTTCTGTAGGACTTTTATTACATTTTTTTTTGAGAATTCAACTTCTTTCGTAACAGTGCATATGTGGTTGTCGGATAAGTATATGTAGGGTAGACCGGGGACAGTTGTACCAGGGGTCAATTGTAACATTTCAAATATGCCCTAGAGTGAGACCGCTATATAAACTTCGCTCGGATGCGCGCGTCACCAAACAACTGCGGTTCTGATTTCAGTGTGCCGGCGGCCATCGCTGAGAGCATTTGTATCTTAAGTGTATTTGTTCGTTTCCGCACGTCAGAAGTAAGTTTTATTTTTTTTTCAAATGTTCGTAGTTCTTTTTACTGCATAATATGCCTGATGTTTTTTCTCAATTAGATTATGGGTAGTGTTAACTACTTTCTGTAAGAGTTACACAAAAAACACAGCAGTGCATATTACAGAAAAATCCATTTTTGTTTTAAAAAGACAGTTGGGGTCAATTGTAACAAATCGTCAGGGGACGATTGTACCGCTACAATTGACCCCTGATTTGTATTTGTTTCGAAGAGGGTTTTCTTTTTATTTTAGATGCCACGGAAAAGGATTAATAAACGGAAAGAGCCTCACGTGATCTATCTTTATATGAATCTGCATATGATGTGGTACTGTCTGGAACGTCAATTCGAGCAGCTGCAGCCCAATTTGGTCTGTGCCATGTGTCCCTATTACGTTATAAGAAGAAAAGAGAAAACTCAGTCGATTGCATTACAAAAGTTAGTATGGGATACAAGCCCGCTAATCGTGTTTTTTCAAATGAACAAGAAAACGAAATGGTTAAATATATCAAGAAAGCAGCAGATATTTATCAAGGTTTGTCGCCCAAGGATATAAGAAAATTGGCACTGCAATTAGCAACAAAATATAATTTAAAAATGCCCGAAAAATGGACTGAAAGTGGCTTAGCCGGTGAAGACTGGTTTTCTGGTTTCATGTGCAGGCATAAAGATTTATCTATAAGAACACCACAGGCAACAAGTCTCTCAAGGGCTACTAGCTTTAATCCTACCAATGTTGCCGCTTTCTTCTATAATCTGGCCAAAGTTATGGACCGTGAAAAGTTTGAAGCGAAAGATATTTATAACGCCGATGAGACCGGGATTACTACAGTCCAGAAGCCAAACAGAATTGTAGCTAAAACTGGAACTAAGCAAGTTGGTGCTATCACATCGGCAGAACGTGGCACTCTGGTTACGCTGACTGTTGCCGTTAATGCGCTAGGGAACTCTATCCCAGTTATGTTTGTTTTCCCAAGATTAAGATATCAAGACCATTTTGTTCGGGATGGTCCTCAAGGTTGCGTTGGAGCCGGTAATGGGTCTGGATGGATGCAAGAAAAAGAATTCATAGTATTTTTGAAGCATTTTCAACATCATACCAATTCATCTCAATTCCATAAAGTTTTGCTACTACTAGACAACCATTCATCGCACATCACCATCGAAGCATTGGATTTCTGTAGAACGAATGGTATCGTCATGCTTTCGTTCCCTCCACATTTCTCACATAAATTGCAGCCCCTAGACCGCTGTGTATATGGGCCACTCAAGAAAGCTATAAATTCTAGTTGTGATGCGTGGATTCGAAATCATCCAGGGAAACCTATGACGATATATGATATCCCAGGGATCACTGCAACAGCTATTCCTCTGGCACTAACACAGAGTAACATTCAGGCTGGTTTTAGATGTACAGGTATTTTTCCCTTCAATAGAGATATATTTTCTGAAACAGATTTTGGTCCATCATTTGTTACTGATAGACCCTTACAGCCATCAGAAAACCAAGAACTGACTGTTAATAATGAGCAAACAGCTAACAGCAAGCCTGCTGCTGAGCTAGAAGGTGTCAATACAGGTATCCCCTGTTTAATTGATTCAGATAGTGACGAAAATATTCCGTTGTCTGCGTTTCGTTTAAAGGAAGGAAGAGCAGATGCGATCCTTATCAGGACACCTGCAAAACTTTACAAGTTCATGACGAAGCCACTCCAACTTCGTCAGAATTCGTAAAAGTTGTATTTTCCCCAGAAAACGTTAGACCATTTTCCAAAGCTCCACCAAGAAAAGGTACAATGAAAGGAAGGAAAAAAAGAAAGTCCGCAATTTATACAGACACCCCAGAGAAAATAGAAATAGAGAAAGAAGTTGAGGAAAGAGAAAAAAAGCGAGTAAAAAGAAACTTAGGCAGTCAGGGAAATAGACCAAATAATAAAGTTCCTAGAAAGAAAAAAACTGGATCGGCAGAAAGCAGTGAAGACGAAAATGAATATTTTTGCCTAGTTTGCGTCGAACCTTATGGGATTAGCAGAAAGGGCGAGAAATGGATCCAGTGCACACTGTGCAAGATGTGGTCACACGAAGAGTGTGTAGGACAAAACTTGTTCTATGTTTGTCACAATTGTGAGTCAGAGTAATTGTCTGAGTTGGGTATCTCTTGAAGAAACAAGATTGATTTTCATATTTTTTTATTTTGCGTTTACCGTTTTTAAGCTTTTATTGTTCTTAGCTTGAATAAAGAGTTCAAGTTTTGTTTGCCGACATCCCTTTATTATTAGATATAGGTATTTGTGAATTACAAAATCCAAAATATTGTTTTAAGTTAAATATTTGTTTTTTAAAGATTTTTCTTGTGTATTTGCTCATTTATTTGTGACAATACGAATGCTCATGTTTTATGCCAAAGTATTTGTACAAATTATATATTTGCCGAGTTGGTTACTGCGGTAATGTTTAAATTTGATCAATAAAACTAGTTAAAATATATTAAATATTGATGTTACAATTGACCCCCTTAGCTGGTACAATTGACCCAGGGGCTGGGTCAATTGTACCATTTTACATTATTTTTTAAATGTTAAATAACTTCTAAACGTATTATGTTTCATGCATTACAAAAACCGCATTTTGTAGACTATTAGTTACGTTACTTTCAGCCATACCTTGCTGACTGGTAGACATCATAATTTGAGAACATGCGAACAATATAGGCAAAATGGTACAATTGTCCCCGGTCTCCCCTATATGTAAATGCGTTGAGTGTCAGTGCAATTCTGTTTTATCATTAGAAATGAGAGTACAATTTTTGTATACATGATTAAGTGTCATTATTCAGTTACGGGTATCCCTTTCCTACATCAAAACAACGAATTGCTTCTAGTGAGTGGTGAAATATTATAACCTATTCCTGGACAAATGACGTTAAAACTTGTTGATAAATTCACAATCGATGAAAATAAAATATCAAATTCCGTTAGAGATACAAAATTCTGAAGTTTTAATTTTGATTCCAAAATATCAATTATTAAATTTTTTATAACTTTGTCGGAGGACAGTTATTGTATACACCATAGAGTAAAATGCAATTTTTTATTTTGAATTTCAAATACTATCCAAATATAGTTTTAAATCTAAATAAAATAATTTGTCAAAACTAGGCAAATACTTTAACCTACAATAATTCAACATATTTAATAAATATAACTGAATCGTTTTAATTGCAGCATGTAAACTCATTTCAATAGTTTCTTAAATTTAAGTATATTGGTGTACTTAATATAAGTGAACGCTTAAATAAATTAAAATTTAACGCGTGCGTTTTGATCTGATTAAACTAGTTTTATGGAATACTGTTTTAAAAACCGGAGCTTAATTAAGCTATTTAAACTTTTCAGTTATTGATTAAATTTTTTAATAAAAAACTACTATAAAAAAAATCAGTTTAGATGATGATCGTAAGTTTCTTTGCCTATCACACAGTATTTTGAGTTTCATAAGCGATCATACCAACTTGTTTGCTTTCCGTTCATCTGTTTCCAGGACTATTAGAACCCTCCCACACTAATTAGTTGCTAATGAGCGCGAAACAGTACTGTCTGCGATTGGTCGTGCTTATAGGGACGGAAAACAAACATGCCCATTTTTACTAGGTAACATATCTGCGAATACTCGTAACTCTTACGAAAAAGCGGTCGATATCTGAAATGCGGAGCGTAACTCTAAGGGCATCGAATCCTAACATGATCTCTACCATCGAATTGGAGGGACGTGCATCAGGGCTTGCTTCCGTTCTTTCACGTATCTGCAGATATCTTACTACTCTAACATTTTCTCGAGAGAAATTTGGCTTATATTTAACCGGTCTCAAAAAAGGATCAAAGACTGGCGATCGAGACGTGAATAGACAAGGGCTTGTAAAATATTCCAGGCATCGCTGCTCTTGTATAATAGATTCCAGAATTGCTACCACTCATGAAGAAAGTTTCCAGAGTACCTGAGATATTTTTCCAATAACCTTGTGATCTCCAAAGCTTTTTGCTCGAAGTGAGCTTGCTTGATCTTATCTTGAAAGCAACTCGGTGTAATGTTTGCACGAAAACTTATGTACCGTAATGATTTAACATACCATATAGATATAAAACAAGTATTCCTTACCGTTTTGTGACCTCACTAGCACAACACAAGCTGCAACAGACACAAAGAAAGCGCACTGCTTCATGATCGCAAAAAAATGCGGCGAATTCTTCCGCAACAACTCCAACTAATAGTGTTTACATCAGAAGAAGGAATTTGACTAAAAAAGACCTCCAATGTAATGACAGAACACTTAGAACAGGTAGGTCTGAGTGCAAAAACCTCCGCGAACGCTTCCGCAAGTGCGTCTACCAGAAGTATTTACATTAGAAAGACGTGCTTCAAAGTGTTTTCGCGTATCTCCAAATCATCAACAGCGTGCTGATGGCAGGTCATTCTGGGCCAAGGCCGACTTTTTAAATGACCCACTGGCACTGTGGTACTCGCTGTAACGGTAAAGTCTTCGCACGAGGGGCAATGCCTTGATACCACCGCTGCTATCTCGAGCAGTCGTGTGTATAACCGGAAAGGCGAAAGAAGAGAGCCGGTCTCTTTCTTGCGAAAGTGCTGGCGGTTTCGAGGTCTAGGCGATGATATATCAAAAACGATTATTCGGACCATAGTGCTTGACAATCTCAGCATTGTTTGAATTGAAGGAAGTATGCAATACAGTGACGAAAAGCTATTCTTCACACTAGTTCCTAAAACCATAAATATTAATGAAATATAGAACGCCATACCGCCTAGTTTCAAAACCTGTGCACACGGTGTACTTTATCTATCTGCGATTTCCTGGAACTTCGCGACGATGAAAAATGATTCCTCCTTAACTTCACGGCGTCCACAAATCGAAAAACTCACTACTAATACTCTGTTGGTTCTACAACCTGTCTACAAATAGAAACACTTTTTTCACTAGCCTAAGGCTAAGTAATCGGTACTCTTGAGCTCAGATAGTAGTATCTCCAAATTCATTCTTCTATTAAGATCCTCATTTCTAAAGCCACTTTTTCACTTCACACGTCTACTGGTATTTTGTAATCGCGAAAAATGTAAAATATTTTCAAGTCTCTGAAATGGACGCTACGGGAGTAACTGCAATCTTAAATCTAAAAGAGTGATGTTTCTCTGAATTCCTTCATATTAAACTAACAAATAAATACCTGATCTTGAAAGTCGAGGATAATGTGAACTTTTTTGTTTTACAATTTTTGCTGTATCTCTGAAAATAAAGTGATGGGGGGTATTCACAGGTTGCCGTGAAGAACACACTGTATCTTCGAAACAGCTGAGTCGATTTTAACAAACTTGGGCTAGTTGAAAAGAGGTATTTCTGGGCTACATATGTTATAATATTTGAAGTTTTGTTAGTCTCACATGTGGCCGGTAGAGGGGGGTTTCTTCGACACTCCGACAGAAATGATTAATTTTCTCAGAAAATTAAATGCTTTGGTATGTTCTGTTTTATGAAAAAGTAGCTAAATGCTGGCAAAACAAGCTCGCGAAAACCACATCACGATATCTTGTTCCTAACCTAAAATTTAGGTCAAAGAAGACTTTATACGGAAATCACTTGAATTTTTTTAACCTGATTTTTCTGGAATTTCTTTTTATCTATTAAGTTGTGGCCTTAAAAAGCTCTGAAGCCTCTCATTGGTAGACAAAACTGCAGCTTCAGTTTCGGCTCTCAGTATATTTTACGTATTGCATTACAAGTCCAGTTTTTCACATCTTCTCTGGTCGTTGGTTGAGTCTGAAACACGATATTCTTTAACCGTCCCCATAAATAAAAATCAAGACAAGTTAAGCCTGGTGAAGGCCATAAAACCAGACTTCCTCTTCCAATCCACCTCTGTTGAAATATGGCATTAATATGATCCCGCACAATAATAGCAAAATATGCTCGGCAACCATCCAAAAGCAATAGATTTGCCGTGTTTCCAATGCCATATCTCCCAACAACAACGGTAATTGATTGTCCAAAAAGTCAAGAAAGACATCGCCTTTTAAGGATTGCCCGAAAAAAATACGGCCCAATAATTCTGCCTCCCAGTATGCCACACCACACATTTAAACTCCAACGCCCTTGGTGCTGAACTTCAAGCAACCAATGCGAATTTTCTGCAGACAAAAAATGCATAATAGTGTGCAGATTGACTCTCCTATCACAATTAAAGGTGACTTCATCGGTCCAAAGAAACTGAAATAAAAATTCTCTATTTTCATGCCTAATATCCAATGGCAATAGTCCAACCTAGTCTTCCCCATTGAAGGCCTGATGCAAAACGACATAATATATTGCATTTTGTTAATTCTAGTATATTAATACACTTTCAACCCCGGTAATGCTGCACACCTACTCACACATTACAGATTTACCCGCAAATTTGTCCTGATAACTTAAAAAAAAACATCAGCCTACGGGTCCGCCTACCTGTCGGTCACACGCAGTAGTGTATCCGAGTGACTTAAAAGCAGGTAGCGGACTGCCCAGTGAGGCGATACGCACATATGTACGGGGTGGGCGAGACTTTTGTATATATGAACTTTACACTTGATTTCGTGAGATATACATATATTCAATAAGTACATATTAATAGCTATTATAATCAGTTATAAGACATTGTTGACAAAAACGAGATCTCGAAAGAAGTGAGGCTAACGTGTGCGAATACACTCACTGCTGCAATCTGAGGAACCTTTTCCCATGAATAGCTCAAATAGTGTACTAATGTTTCTAGCAAAACCAAAGTCTTTTTGATGCTATTTCACTACATAGACACTACATGGAAAATTGTACTAGAAGTTGTTTAGGAAGGAGGAAGTACCCACTTGACGGCTTTCTTAGGCAGAAGCCTAAACTCCGGGCACCGCGACTGCTATAAGGAACTTTGTTTATCCGACTTTTGAACTGTCGAATGTTAGCAGAACTGGAAAAAACCTTGGACAGGCTGTTTCACAATCTCGATATCATAAGAATGAAGGAGAGGTCATGCCAGCCAGTTCTCGGTTCGGCAGAATTTGTGTGGGAGGCAAAAGCCTGGCGGGTCCATCAGGCGGGTTCAACTGCGGTGGCCACTTAAGAAACCAAAAGCATTCTGCCCTTGCCTAGTGGCGTAGCTAGCTCCTGACGAGTCCTATATCCAGACAGATGGTGAAGATCGAGGTAAAGATTTATTACAAAAGAAACATTTACACTTTTGGAGAGCATCATACTATGGGGGATTTTACAAAAGGTTACTATTATGCCAAAAACGAAAAAGTTTGTAGTTATTGAATGTCGGTCCAGTGGGGCGGAAAAATAACTAAAAACGAAAAAAAAAGCTCAAACTTCATTTTTTTATGTTTTACAGAATCCTGAAAAATGTTGTAGGAGAAAAAGTTGTGGAGTGTGGTTCAAGGGGGGTTTAGGAGGGTATATCTCAATTTTTCACGTTGGTATACCTATACGCCTCCAGTTGAAGTAATTATACGCACCTATTAGATATATTTCGCTCATCATAGATGTACCCGTACATTTATCCTTAAAACTAAGAATGGAGAAATATTTCCGACCCTCGCGTATCGGTAAAACGTACTTCGTGGACCGTAGATCTTCATTTACGCGAGATATGCTCATAGTTTCGACTATTTGCGCCCGCACACATGCCTCCAAAACTTTTTAAATTTCGAGGGGTAGCATACTTTCTCAAGAGGGCAAGTATTAAAGTGGCCCAGAAGCATGCTAAATATGCAAACTTTAATTGTATGACCTGTTTGACTAGCTTGATCCATTCAATTTTTTTATCATACATGTTCACAGGCAACTTTTTTCTCAGATTGTGTCGAACACAGCGTTGCGTAGTAAGTGCGTAGTAAGTGCAATCTACTTGACTTGACTTTTTGGTTCTAATATTTGTCGAGAGATTTACCTTGAGAGCGACTAAAATTCCTCGAAAAGTACCTATTTTCTTTCGTTGTGTCTAAGAACTGGTCTCAGTACTCAGTAGAGGAGTTTCAATATGTCGTTATTGTTTGATTAAAATAAACAACTGCAATTTTATCAAGTTTTTTATTTCCACTCAGTGATCTCAAAACAGATTGTTAAGTTCTAGTGTTCCTTGTTTCCTAGTTTCTTTTTCATTAACTATTAATTAGTATACGATATTGCCTAATAACTTAACTATGGATGCTTCTGAGAAGTTCGGTAAAAGTTGACCCCAGAATGAGACTCCGTCCTTCACATATGCATCGGGGATCCAACCACGTTCATCCAACAATCCTGAAAAATAAATAATAAAAATTTTCAATAATTTCGCCTTTTCTTCGACACTATATCTCGCTCATTTCCATCGGTCTGTCTCTGTCACAAGGTTACTGCTATGCCAAGGATAAAAAACTATTGTAGTATTTGAAAATCAGTCAGAGACGGCCAAGCCAGATGCAAAAAGTCGAAAAAAATAAAAGTCACTCAAACCTCTTATTTTGATGTTTCAGATGATCCTAAAGTTTTTCAGAGTAATTTTTGTAGGGGAAAACACTGGCGGTTGGGGATGTAGGGCGGGGAGCATTTTTAATTTTTTGTACTGTATGAGCCAGTTTAACTGACTCGATCTATTTACTTTTTATTAATCTTACATGTTCGTAGCTAACTTATGTCAGGAGGGTTAACGTGTCGAACATATTCCTTCTGAATGGTCGCGTGCGAAGTGCAGCGTCGACTTACTAGACGCGATTTCTTCTTTTGTACTTTCATCCTTACCAACATACGTGGTTGTAGCCATTAGGTTCCAGGAAGTTAGTGATAACTAAGCTTGCTATGCTGTGACGCTCATCCGAATCTGGCAAAAAATCTTTGACACCCTTCAAAAATTGCCAGTGGTATATGGAGAGGAATGCATGTTGAAAATCTGGGTGTCTGAATGGACTGGGTAGTTTGGAAAAAAGAAATTCGCTTAAATATTTCTGATGCGTGCAACTTTTAGATTCACAAAGACTTGACAAGCTAAGTCTGAGTTTTCAGCACTCTTAGGAAATGACATTGTTAGACCCATGTGGCCGCTGCCATAAGTCTCTACAGCGCTTTCGTTCCCTTAATGAGCATTTTGCCAGGAGACACAGGATATCGAAGCCTTCATGGGTCCTGACGAGTGGACAAAATAAAAAATAGATCTTACCTGCTGTTAAAAGTAATGGGAGAAGCTCTGCATCTTTAACGAAGGCCAGCTTCTTGATAAATGCATCTGCAGCAACTCCTGTGGAAGATACAGTTACAGATCAATTCAAAAAGTATGATTGAATCAATGCGGATCATTCTCCAAAACATTTGAAAATTAATTACCTGCACTAACCAGACCGAGCTTGATTAGAAGTCCCTTAAGGATTTTCTCGCCAGCTATTGACCATGTTTTGTCAGCAACTACAAGCATAATTATCAAGATGAGATTAAAGAGATTATACAGTGCATGACATAGGGTGCTTAAAATTTGAAGTAGCAGTCGTTAGGAGCGCAAGTGAACGAAATCAAGATCATCAAATGGGTGCAGCCAAACCCAGGCTATGAGACCTTTTCCAAATTGACATTCAATTCTGAAACTGAGCGGTGAACACAATTAGGCTGTCCAATAAGTATGGTAACTATGATTTCTGCAAAATACTGGCGTTTGGATTTTTAGTTAGCTGAAAATAATTTTCAGCAATTTCATTTGCCAAAAGTTTGTCAATTTGGCCAAAAAACAAGTCGATTTAAAATAAAATAATCCCAAAATGCTCTTCAATGTTTTGTAGAGCAAGGTTTATCTTTAATTTACATGCTTACTCACCTCAAAAATTATAATTTCTAACCCAATGTTTAAGCATTTATTATACCCGCACGGTAACCCAGATCAAATTTGTTTTAACAGCTTTTTTAAATAAATTACAACTTTTTGCACGGACAAATATTCTTCAGGTTGTTTAATCATTCCTTCACCTTTAATCAAAAGATGACCATTTTCGAGTTATAAGCGACCTAACGTCTGAATAGCTCTTAAAGTGCGTATATTCAATGGTTAGAAACTCGGTAAAAAAATGATATATGAGGTCACCAGGTATTCAAATTCAAGTTTAAGCCTTGTTTTATAAGACCATTAAGAGATTTTTAACCTTGTCTGTTAGGCCAAAGTTAACGAACTTTTGATTTGAAACATAACCATTCTTCGAGTGAAAATTGAAAATGCATCCACAATGAGTGACTGGTGGGTTTGGTGGGCAACAGAACTGGACCACCTTTCTGCGAAGGAGAGCCATGAACTGTCGTTTCAGTCAATGCCAAACGTTACCTCATTGTACTTAACGAACTTTTATTTAAAAGTTGAAGCCGAAATTACTAGCCACCTCAGAAAGTCGATTTAAATCCATTGAAACTGATATATAGAAAGTTGTTAAGAATAAATATGCAAACCATCCAGTCTACATAGATATATATATATATATATATATATAATCTTCTTTTATATACAGGGTTATCCAAATTAAGTGTCCACCATTAGTAACTTTGTTATTAGTGAAAATACAAAGTTGTTTGAATTAGCAAACTAGTAGCATTTTTAACGCTGGTAAAAATGAGAAATAAAAAAAAACAATTGAGAGTCGTTATTTTTTTTCAGTAAAATAACATTTTTTTAAATGGAAACCCCTGTATATTATATGTTTTTCTGTTAAAGCATCAAATTTTAAACAAAAAAGTTCATAATGACTTTTCCGCTAAAGTCAAAAATAAAGTCAAAATAACGATAAATATTTTTAATTATTTGCAGTATTATAATATTAAGACGGCTATGAAAACAACATGGCGTTCGCGATTTGACAGCATTAAGATAAGCGACAAATTGTTAAACTGGACATACTCGCAACTAGAAGGCTTTGGAAAACAATGATAAAATCAAATAATGTCAAACATTAGTGTAAATACTTGTTTATAAGCTTTATTGTGTCATTAATTTAAAGAAAAATGTTCTCCCATGAAGAAAAGTGTGATATGTTAGAATGCTATTTAGTGTGCAGAAAATCCTCCTTGAGAGCAAGAGAATACTACAGTGAATTATATCCCGCTCGCATTCAACCGTATGAACGATATTTTCTGAGACTTTATCGAAAATTTAGGGACAACGAAAATGTTTTTGCTAAAACAAGGGCAAAAAAAGAATTCATAATAAGCGAGGCCACGGAAATTGCAGTTATTGGATATTTTGAAGCTTATCGTGAGAATTCAATAGCAGATATTCTCAAGGACTCTAATTTCAGTTATGGTACTGTTCAAAGGATTTTAAAAAAATACAAATTTATTCCGTATAAGTACCGACCAGTTCAAACGCTTTTGGCAGGGGATCCAGAGAGAAGACTTGTTTTTTGCCATTGGTATCTTAGCTTCTGTCGCCAAAATGTAAATAACTTTCGTTACCTTTTATGGACAGATGAATCAAATTTTTCAAATTCTGGAATGTTTAATAGAAAAAACCACCATTATTGGTCAAGAGAAAATCTTTTGTTAGTACATCCAAGAGGCCCACAAGTCCGTTTCAGTTTCAACGTTTGGTGCGGTATAATTGGTTCAAAAATTGTTGGCCCGTTCTTTTATGAGGGAACCCTAACTGGTGAAAGATATGTGGAATTTATGTCAGAAATTCTGACTAATTTCTTAGACGAATTGGATCTTATAAGTAGACATCATCTGCATTTTCAGCAAGATGGCGCACCTGCCCACAACTCCAGAGGTACTTATCATTTTCTAAGTACTACTTTTAATGATCAGTGGATAGGAACAAATGGCCCAATACAGTGGCCTCCCAGATCACCAGATCTAAACCCACTTGATTACTTCTTGTGGGGTTACTTAAAGAACCAAATTTACAAGCGAAGGTACGATAACCTTGACGCGTTAAAGACTGCAGTTAGGGAAAAGATAACCCAGATAGATGGTAGGACCATACTTAAGACAGTTCGAGCAGTTGAAAAACGTGCCCAAAAATGTATTGAAGAACAAGGTGGTGTTTTCGAGCATCTTCTTTAAAAAAAATTGTTATTGTATTTTGTAAGATTATAAGTTGATGTTGAAAATAAAGTTTGTAGATACAATTTAATTGTTTCAGATTGGAGGCCATAACTTCAACAATTTGTAACCTAGGAGAAAAGTTATTGTAAGCTTTTTTGTTTAAAATTTGATGCTTTAACAGAAAAAAATATAATATACAGGGGTTTCCATTTAAAAAAATGTTATTTTACTGAAAAAAATCAAAATAACGACTCTCAATTGTTTTTTTTTATTTCTCATTTTTACCAGCGTTAAAAATGCTACTAGTTTGCTAATTCAAACAACTTTGTATTTTCACTAATAACAAAGTTACTAATGGTGGACACTTAATTTGGATAACCCTGTTATATATATATATAACTGGAAATTTGAAAAAAGCTCATCAGTTTTTTCATAACTGATTAAAATTCCAAATTTTAAATGGCATAATTAACATTTACAACCTGACATCAAGAAAAAAAAATGTTTTGGGAATAAAGCGAATGTCCTTAATCCAGAAATAAAGGTTTGACTTTTCAGAGCATCGAAGTTTTGAGAACTCATTCTCTCCTAATTTGGTACCTGACTATATAAAAATTAATCATTCGTCTTGTATCAGATTTTATATCTATTCGTATTTTTTACTCGTTCTCAAATACGTTCTATTATGGCTATTTGTATTTAATAATTTCCAGAAACTTTAAACAATATAAAAGTGGTTTCTATATCGAATCGTTTTTAAGGGAAGATCGCTTGATTCAACAATCCGATGCACTGTTTTCGCTTGAAAAACATGGTTACATCTCTTCTCTCTCTCTCTAATTGATTCGCTTTGTCTTTCTCTTCCCAATACGACTACTCTTTGTGTGTCACCGTGGGTAGCACAAACAAACGACTTCACACCGAAAGAGATAACATTTCGTATACAGTTAGAACAAGACGAGCAACACAGAGGCACATGCTGTCGTGAGTAGGAGCAAGAAGGACATTGAAGCGTTAAGTTGACATTACTTTACTTTCCATAGAATTCCCTGATAGTTTTTGAAATCATATGCATTGCCAAAAATAAATTTTTACTAGATATGTTTGCTAGCAGGTTACCTCAGGTAGAGAAGACTATAATTTTATTAGTAATGACTCAAGTATTCCATTTGCTATGCTGTTTTTCTCGATTTTTTTAATGTTTGTCAAACATTGATGAATACATATTAAAAATTTGTCTTTATCATAGAAAAAATTCTGTGGTGTCTGGGAAAAATCTCAATGACGCCCAAATGTTCGGGGCTTTTGAAGCTTTTTTCCGGCATCAGTAATTTTGATGATGGCAGCCGTAGGTATAACGAAAAGACTATTTGTCTGTCTAGCAGATCTAGCGTGTTTATAGTGTCAGGAGCATAGGTACCTGCGATCGGTGCGGATGCGTAGATTGGTTGTGCTACTGTCGCCACTGGTTGTATGATTTCAGTATGCTTTACTGCGTTGATCTTCTTAATTCCTTCTTTGGCCAGAGCTGCGAACAAAAGGTCAGTGCAGTTTTCGAGTATGTACTCGTATACTGAAAGATGATAATTGACTTACCTAAACTGGCTAGTAGAGCAATCAAGCCTTTGGCTTTAACGAGTGCGTCGCCCTTACCGTACGAAACTGTTGGAACAAAAATATAAATATATAATCCATTAAAAATTGACAAAACAAAATTCTGTCGAAATGTACCTTGGTTCCCTAAATTTTATTCTAATTCCTCCTACGGTGTGAAAACCCTGGTTATACCGTTGATTGAGCGGAAAATTATTCGAGATGAAATGAGATACCGTAGCGTCATTTGTGAGAATTTGCCACATGTATCTTTCTCCTCTTTGCAGCTTTGAAAAGGTTAATGTATCACAGATGGCGCTGTATCCCGCTATATATGAGCATATAGCTACAACTTTTTCAGAGTATACTTCTATTTATTGGAAGAAGTGACAAGTGGGCATAGATGAAGATACGGTATCTCATTTCATCTCGGATAATTTTTCGGACACGCAAATGTGGTATTAGGTTGGCTATCCTCAGGTAGAATATGTTAATCAATAGTTATACCTACTACCGTAAGGGCAACTTTAATGAAGGTCGAATAGTCATGTCACTACGTGAGACTTTCTTAAGGCTCATTTTTCTCACCCCTATGATGATCATCGGGGTAATTACGTATGCGCGTGATATCTTTCATAACAAAATTTTCATTAGTCTGGCATATTCAAAAAATTGCTTCGCCTTATTTACTGTACGAATAGAGAAGTAGTAATTATTTTATACCATACCGTTCATTTTGCGTCCTGTTGACATCAGATTCGAAATAAACAGGTTTTCCAATTTATATTCATATTCTGATATTTTACTGCGAAATTTAATCCCATCTATATTTCAAGAGGAAAAATCAATTCAAGATGCTCTCTTACAGCTAACTATCAAAATGTATAAGTACATTGATAACAATATACCATCCGCTTGCATTTTTATAGTTTTACCTAAAGCTTTTGAATAGCATCATCCATAAAAACTCCTAACTACCTAAAAAAATTGGTATTCCAAGGAAGAACTTGGGGAGTTATTCAAAAAATGTGTAAAATATCAACAACTTACTAAGTCAAGGCGATTAAGTATGCTATGGAGTTCTACAAGGAACTGTGTTAGGACCTTTTGTAGAGAGTCACAAATTCTGTTACTCTAGACAAACTTTACTTCTACAACATAATCTTATATTTAACTAAACATACAAATTTATTACAGCGTATGGATCATAATCATCTAACACGATTCAAAACCACATCAGCAAATATACCCAGATTAAATGAAACTTTAAGTCAACGATCATTTTATTTTGTAGGCCCAAAATTTTATAATATTATTCCACCAAATTTAAAACATATACAGTCCAAAAAACGTACCAACATTGAATTAAAGTTTTCCAATATTATTTATGGATAAGCTCATTGACATCAAAAATCTTATGACTCAATTATTATTACTGACCAAAACATGAAATCTTGTATCCTAAAATATTTTAAGTTTTATTTATTATAATTATCTCAAGCCCAAGCAGAAGTTAATACTTTTTTGGGTACTTTCATTTATTATTTATATTACATTTAGTATTTAAACCGATAAACATTATTATATTTATTATTATTACTATTATTGTTATTATTATCACTAACCGCCGTGTCAGTCATTGGTGACGGATACTAACCTATTCCAAATCGCCATGTCAGCTATCAGGACTCCCACTACATACATACTTTTAACTGTCCGTCATTTACATTATAACATGCTTTCTTGACGCGGAACACGTGTAGGAAATGTGTAAAATTCTTACATTTCAAATTTCTTGGCCCGGTGTTCAACACTTAAGAATAATGTTTGGTATTCTAGGACCAGCTACTAACCTGCAATGGGTACTTCTTGAACTGTTTGAACTTGTGGTACTGCAACTGTTTGAACAGTATTTACGGGTGCATACTTGGAGGAGTAGACAACTTCACTGCCAATGAGTCCTAGACGAAAAATAAATTAAACTTTACGCAAACTCAAGATGCTTGGACAACTACGATTTCCTTGCTGATTTCGATAGGACTATCTATGTTGGGTGTCTGGGCCACGCGAATCTATTTTTGATGCTGTATGTCCTGATAAAAAATATTGTCCCAACGAGGTTGTTTTGCGATTTATGTATCTACTACACTTCGAAGTTGAGTCATTTATTTTAACAGTGAGTAGATCTGATCAAAAGAAATGTTTTTTTCCTTTACCATTTTTCTGGTAAAATTAAAGTAACAAAGTTATAGCCCTTTGGAAGTTTGAGTACCGCCCTGTCTCAATAATAATATCATGTACTCGTGTTTGGCAACAACGGATATAATCCGCCTTACCGGTTCATCGCATCGGAAACAAAAAAGCGAAAGAATTTGGAACGATGTTTTTGCAATTAAGTATTTTATTCAGTTCAGTTATACATACAGTCAGTGTCTGTCGGTTAGCGTGTGAATAGTGTCTGTTGCGTGGCTCAAACGAAATAAAAATGGCACATGTTTATGCGGATCGGTTTCCCAATCGAGTGCAACCAACCCCTCGTGCCTTTGTTAATGTAGTACAACGGGCTCGTGAATCAGGTGACTTAAGACCTCACAGGGGACCTCACGATCAAATACAGGTCTGCACTGAAATACTTGTCGGGAGGATACTTTATAAAACAAGGTAAAATTTTTTTTTTACTTTTTTTTTATTTTTACACACATATTCTGGTTTATCTTCCTTCTACAATCATTATCTGAAAATTAATGACTCAACTTCAAAGTCACCCTGTATATTACTGAATCAGTTCAGATGCCGCGTAAAAAGAGAAATACAAATAATACGATACAATAGATTTTCCAGAAACGTTCACACAAGGTATTCGCTTCCGAGATAGAAATGTTTATTTTATTAAGAACTCATCGGTCGTTTCTCAAGTCAGAAGAATCAATAAAAATATGACTGCTTTGAGAATGCTACTTCTAGATACATGACAGAACTTCCGTCAGAAGCGTAATCTGCTCGGAGGTTCTGAGGTGAAATGGTAGAGGCGCTGCACTCATCATGACAACACTAAATATCAAACATCAACTAACGCGTGTGGCTGACCCATTTCAAGAGGCTCAGTTAAAGAGACCATAAATATCTTCCAGCTAATCTTCTCATCTGACTGAAAATACCAAATTCATCGATAACGGTGTATCTGAACAAGTCCTGGGAAATATCGTGAAAAACAATATGATGATTCTGCAGCAAGAAGTAGCAGAGGTATGACGAGGAATAATCCATCTTCGTGAAACTAACGCACTAAATAGAATATAACTATTTGAATACGCACCGTTAGCAGCTAGCTTGGCCTTGATCAACTTAATCAGAGCAGCTTTCACTGCAAAACAAAATAACATGTAAGACATCTACAACATATCACAGTACGGTATGTCGTGAATCTTGCACTACGGTTATGCATACCCAATAGTGCTTTCTTGGCCTCCAAGGCTGCTCCAGCCAGCCCGCCTGCCCCTGCTGCCCCAGCAATCCCCGCTGCCCCTGCGTCTGCTAAAGCAGCAGTAGCAAGCCCTGCCTTAGCAAGTCCTGCTGCTGCAGCTGTGCCTGCAAGTCCTGCTGCTGCAGCTGTGCCTGCTAATCCTGCTGCTGCAGCTGTGCCTGCAAGTCCCTTGGCCAAGTCGACATCGATTGCTTTCCCATCTGCAAATAAGAAACAACCAGACTATACCCCATACGTAGTCTATTTACGCCCAGACAAAACACAACATGCTCAAAAGCGAGATTATACAGGTCCGTATTTTCCTCAATCGTCTTGGAATAGTCTAACAAAATAAATGATTATTTTTATAGAAAGTGCACATACTTTTCAAAATTCTTTATTGTATGGAAGTACTTGAATCATCGTCCGAATGGTTAATTTTAATTATTACGGGTTCAATTTGAATATCGATCATATTGTCCAGATCCCACATCTTTGTTTCAGTTGTCTCTTGAACGTGACACATGCAATCTTTCCAATTGTTTGCCGTCACTTTGTTGACAGCTTCATAAAACAATTTTTTCACGTCAAAAAATGTTAATGTTCTATTGTTTGAAGTCACATAGTTTTTTATATTTGCCCAAATTATTTCAATGGGATTTAACTCGCGGTGATAAGGGGTAGCCTTAAAGCGGTCTTATTTTGGTTTTTAGCCATTTCGTCAATAACATTAAGATTATATTTATATTTGTGCTGCCTGACTAGATGGTTAAGTTCTGCTTTGACCATATTTTATTTGAAAGTAATGTCTTCTGATAAGAGCCATTGTTGAATATCTGCCTTTCTTGTGGACACTGTGGGAATTTTTTCTAGTTTTCTAGTGTGTTATGCAGCATTATCAAGTACAATGATGGCATTGTCTTCAAGCTTTGGGAGCGTTTCTTTAAACCACTGTTCAAATGAGCTCCCGTCCATTTCTTGATGGTAGTCGGTCGTTTTCTTTGACTCAAATGCATATAGGGCAGTGGGCACAAAGCCATCTCCACTGCCAATGTGACAGATAACAAATCGTCTTAATTTTCTCAAAATAATTATTTCATATAATATTCGAGAAAACTAATAATAATACAAACAGGATATCTAACAGGTGTTGCTCCCAAATCTACCAGATATAGCTAAGTCTAGCGTAGCTAAGTTTTCAGCGTGGGCTCATAGATTCAGTCTACTTGACATCATTTTTACAACACAAACGACGAATTGCTTAGTACACGTACCTGACGGATTCTTCAGGCCAGTGGTTAGTCCATCGAAGAAGGCTTGTCTTGCTGATTTAATTGTAGAGTCGGCCCATACTTAGGGTTTTGTATGTCCTGCATTTATCCAGATTTCATCCAAGTAATAAATCTTCCTGCCCTGGCCGCGATATTTCTTTATTGATTTTAAATAATTAAAATACTATTTATGCCTCGTTTTCTATACTCAAAAATGAAGTTCTTTGAGTAAACTATAGAATGTGGTCCTCTTGAGAGTAGGTAAGTCATCATCACTATTATCCTCCTGTAATACCTTGTCTATGGTTCCTGCTTTTCAAAAAATTGATGGACTTTGCGTCTGATGGCGCATTCCGATCAAAGTTATCAACTGTATCCAACAGTTTCGTGTAATGCAGCCTCTTGTGTGGTGGAGGCAATTTTTGCTTTTTTATATTCTTTCATTTTGAATTTTCATTTTAGGATGCCCTAAATTTTTGCTATCCTATCATTGGCTTGCTTAACACTCTGATATAGAGGAGATTTGCTTTCTTTGATTATTACTATAATTATTATTAACCTCCTCCTTACATGAGTTTAATTGCTATTATTATTGTTATTGCTGCTCTTGTTGTTTTCAGTAATAACAGAAATAAAGCGGTATTATCTGTAAGATTACACAAAAATTCAAAGCTAAATCATTCGCCTATTCAACTTATCCCTAACAGAATCAGTTGGCCCATTTACCCTCCGCTCTCTTGATTCTCGCATGAAGGTTGTACATTCCAAAATTACAAAAGGGTTTTGAGAAAATGCTTACTCCAATCCGAAAACTGTGTGGAGCAAATAATAAGCCCCAAAAGAGCTAATATAGCATTTGTAGAATGAAACTCTGATAATTATACTACAACTATAATAGCTGTGGTCAATTCTTAGGAACAAAAAATATAACAATCTTAATGACCATAATGCATTCTATAATAGGTACGAAGGACGAACCCTTGGAAATCATGCCACCTTTGTTATTTATTTTCTACTTGATATTTTGTTTCTTATACTATTATAAGGCTGACTTAAGGATAAAATGCAAGCTCAACACAAACCTTGGGAATGGTAAAATCTCATTTCTAAAGATAAAAAATTAAGTATAGGTCACTTACATTGGGAAGCAGCTACCACTAGCCAAAAAACGGTAAGAACTTGACTGAAATGCATGGCGATTGACATTAAGCATTTAGCAGAGCGATGATTTTTTATATATACTAGAATACCTATCGCTTTTTTTGAACTTATCTCGAAACAATTAGCACATTTTGGGAACTAAATGACCGAAAAAATCCCAGAAATGCTCGTTATTACCTTTCTCCGTATTTCCCAACCAATTTGCTTATAATTATTCTTCATGAAAGCTAAAGTACCCAATCCATACTCATGATGAATGAGAATATGTAAGTATTCGATAGCCAGCACAAAGTAAATCGTAGATACACTCCGCGTCATTCAGATGGAACCTATTATTATTCAGCATATGAGACAGAGTAATTTATTAGAAGGAAGGAAAACGTGGCAATATTTGAAGGGCATAGAGTAGCTCAAAAAATAACACGAAAAGGTCATATAATAATGGGTGCCGCATTATAATTTTGAAATCTAAAAAAATATATATCTCTGGAATAGATTAAGATATTGAATAAAATGATTGTACACTGTGGCATCATAGTCAGTAAATTCAAGAATGTTCGTGTCTGAGGCTATACCGATGGTGTAGAAAGTTAGAAATTATGACATCATGAAACATTTTTCATTCAATTGTACATGAATCGCTCCTCTTGAGAAATTTAGGACAGACTACCTTTTGGAGAAAAATTGGTTTCAATATTTGGGGCAAAATCGGTATAAAAAACCTCAATCCGATCCACTTTGAAAATACGCTGAAGTATTTGACATTGAAAATTGTATTTATTAGTATAGTAGTTATTTATGTCATGTATCTTGATAGTGGAAGAGTTTAGTAACTATATATGAACTTTTCTGTAACTATTTTTATTTGGAAAAATAATGCCACTAATCCCTTGAATCTCCGCCACTGGTGCACGTTAATTTTGAATAAAGACCTTTCTATGTGGATAATACTTAAGTAAATCCACATATCAAAATTTTAGTTCATTCCAGTTGACGGTTTTGAAGATATTAAAAAATTGCTTTTTGTTTTTAAACTTCAAAATATTACATAGAAGACCCCCCTTGAAATGCGGTCCTGTGTATGATGACTGTTGGTCACGACTTGTGAATCACCCTGTATAACATCTGAAGACATCGAAAAAGTATGTGAGCATCGACATCTGAGAAGTAATATGTAACACTAAGCCCTTCGAAATCAGTGGTGATGCTCTTTGGTAGGAGTAAGGCTCGAAACAGATGTCTTGGTAAAATTAAGTTAGTATAAAATATGAAAGAATCATTCTAAAGGAGTGACAAAGAATTTGAGTGTGTACCTAGATTATTCACTAGGGTCCTCGGAGCATGTCACATTTGTGTTAAAAAGAGGATACGGTAATCTTAAAATCCAATATAATAGTAGACGTATCCTCACACAGAGATTGAAGAAAAATCTGGTGGAGGTAGTGTTGTCACATACTACTTATGCAGATGTACTGTTTATGCCATGTTTACGTAAACGTCATGAAGAGAGATTGCAAAAACGTCAAAATTCTTGCATGCGTTTTATCATGGGGGCTAGGAGGCGAGATCACTACTCCAGAGTATAACATTTACGAACGAAATAGGGATCCTGCATTTAATTTGTATGATTCATAAGATTATCACCACAAACCCCTGCAAATCTGTATAACAAAATTCGTTACAGTACAGACGTCCACAGTTTCAGCCTGCGTTACAGACATTTAATTTCTACTCCTAGATTCTGTACATCGTTATTCAAAGGTCTTTTTTTCTCACAATATCGCACGGCTGTTCATCTCATACAAGAGTTTGTCTATGAATTTATTTAAAAAAACAATATAGCGTCTTCTATTGGATGATGACTACATAATGTGAAACATACTAAATTTAACTCCTCTTTCTGTGTATACAACAGTTTTTCACTTCTGGTTTTCTTTAACTGTTTTTGGCTCAATTTTCTTGCTTGTAAAGTTCTAGGTGAAGAACTATTGTAAATTTCTACATGGTAGTGAGATCCGAATTCTGCCATTTATTAGGAAATTTGTTCAAGTCCTAAGTATTTTTTTTCTGTACGCTTATCTTGGCAATAATAACTATTTATTATCATTATTATATATTCAGCGAATATCCGGAATGCAATTCCAGAACATATATTTTCTCAGCAACGTCAACATATTTCGGGAACCAAATTCCTAAAAACTTTTAGTGACTGCGACACTACTTGATTTTCTCTTGATTACGAACATCCAAGTTAAAATATGCACTATAATGTTAATTAATTATGTGATTACGACTGTTGACTTTTTTGGTGTGTATCAACTACAAACAAAATACGGTTTAATGTCGGAAATCCGGACATCAAAACCCGGAGCGTCATAAATCCAGATCGACGGTGAGAGCAGGTAGCATGTGGGAGGTCTGTTTTCTGCTATTATTCACACACCTTACAGTAGTGGTATACATAAGGAGTCAACTCATATGAAAGAATATGATACCAACCATTCATGACAACCAACTGACAGCACTGTTCAAAAAAAATGGCGGAATATCCGGTATATCGACACTTGGTTTGAATTTAGTCAAATTTAAATTTCCCAACATTGCAATTTTCGTTTCACTGCCGCAGTAAATGAAATTGCAGCTTTTAGAAGCTATAAAATTGTACAACAGCCTAATATTTATTGCTAGCACATTTGAAAATCTGGATTTTTTACTAATTCGGACTTATACGGTTCCAACAAAGATTTCTCGGTACCCCCCTCCCTCTCTTGAAGTTGGAATTATGGAGAAATATCTTGCACACGCGCTCTCTCTGGGCAGAGCGGCATTATAGTCCGTGGTATGGGGGATAAGCGATCTTGCCCGATCGACGGTACTATCGGTAGGGTGAGGAAAAGATGTCTATGGACTAGTTAAATAATATGTCTGTTTAACTGATCTACTACAAAATAAGGTTGAACATTTGCTATTTCCGGAATTCAAATATACTGACAATTTTCTACGTGATACAAGGGAACTAATATTTTTCTAATAATAATAGAGAAAATTGTCTATAAAGTTTTACAGCTATTGCACAAAAATTGCAGGTTCGGAATACAGGTGTCAGTCCCCGTAAGCTCCAAAAACATTGCTCTAAATCCCAAACCGCTGTTCAAAGCTGCAAATCAAGCAATTCCGCCCTTGCTGATGATCCAATTTTTATGGGCAGCTGCTGTGCAGCACCGCACAGGGCTGGTTAATTAAGTTCGAAACTTTTAAATCGGACCCGGTTTTAACCGGAGGGAGAAGTTCCAGATAAAATGGACGACTCTCGATTTAAGAACCAATTCCATATAGAATCTTTAATTTAACTTGATCAAATTGCTTCTCCTTTCACAGGAGGATAAAAATTAGTTTCAGACATATAACCGTGAAACCAGCCAGGAGGTTGTAACTAGAATCCTCGCCTGTAACCAGTTATCGACCTGTAGCCCCACAATTCATTTAGAGATGTGCTGTTAGGCTCAAATCTCAGTGAGACTTTCAGTAAAATGCGTTCAAGATAATGTATACTGAAAAGCTTACCAATTAAATTTAACTTGTACTGGATATATTCATAAGTAATATCATAAGGGGATCTAATTTTTCCGAAAAAATCGATAAAATGCGTTGCTAAGTAATATTTTAACAAGAAGCATGAGTGCTGGTGACAGTCAATGACGAGGATTTTTGCACCTACACGAACGTTTTTTGTTAAAAAAATAATACTTCGCATCGTGTTTTTTCGATTTTTTCACAAGAAAAGATTGGTAGTTGATAAGACTATTTCATGAGTAACAGATTATTCTGCATAAACATAGCTTACAAATCATTCTACCTATTTCACTTCATAAGCTGACTAGCACTGTTTAAAAACAATATTGCGAAATTTATTGACAATAAAATCAGAAAAATTATTTAGCGTCATTTTCTGGTATCCTAGGAGACCATAATTGCTTGTTATCAAAGGCATTGTAAGTTTCTCTGAGCTCCTCATAGAAGCCGCGGTGCCCTGGTATTTATGCTTCTGCCTACGCGGTATAAAAAAATAAAAGTAAACTTTTTAGTACACAGTACTTAAAAACGCATTCCACTGTAAACATAAAAAAATCATTTGGTGGATCTGGATTTGTATATTTTTGTGTTTACGGCTAACCATACTTTACTACCTATTTTTCAGTTCATCGCACATTGGTCTATTTTAATTCAATTCTACTTCTGGCCAATGTCCATTCATACTTACCACGTATTTATTCAAAGATCTGGCAAAAATTAAAAGAAAAAAATAAAGTAGTAGAAATGGATGAAAAATGTTTCCCATTTTGAAGCTAATACCTTAAAGAATGCGTTGGACCTGGAATCAGAACTTTGCTTACACTACCTTCACCATGACAGGCCATTACACTTGACGTTTTTTGCGTATCAAGGACCAGATGGCGCGCTTTATGACATCGCCATAAAGAAACTATCACAACTTCTATAAAAAAAAATATACCTGAAGGGTGGAAAGATAGCAGAACGTACAGGCTTCAAAAATATCAATTATTAAGAAAAGGAACGATTCGTACTTGAAAAGTAGGAGACCATACGTTTAGAATTACCATCGTATAACGTACAATGTGTATAATTCTTGTCTTTTGTTACAGGTTATTCGAAGAACATGGCGAACTCTTAACCTTATTCGAGAAATTCCGAGAGCTGAAGACTAAAGAAGACCAGGCAAACAGTCTGGAACTTCAGGAGCATGCGAACACGGTGATGACCACACTGGATGAGGGCATCAAGGGTTTGGATAACCTGGACGCCTTCTTCGACTTCCTGCATCAAGTGGGGGCGTCACATCGCAGGATACCCGGCTTCAAGGCCGAATACTTCTGGGTGGGTACCAAATTTTATAAATAACAATGAAACTATTGCTCTCCGTTGATTTTTCGTTGCCGCCCACATGGTTATCGTTCTTTTGTGCTTTATCAATTGGGAGGTTTCGTGTAGTCAAAAATACTGCCAGTTTTACTTACATATAATCCGGGCCATTCTTCACGTAAGAACCTATAAAGCATCGTACCCGCGCCTCCTATTACGCGACACGTGTTCAACTTGGCCAGCCTGTCACTACGTTTCAAGTATCTGTCGGAGTTGGTTGTGGAGTTATCCTGCTTTGTTTGTCACCAAGTCAATTAGTAAGCCCGCCAAGTGTGAAGTGTGCCCAGTATGACGGTTTTTAAATGCAAAAAAAGATGCAGCAGCTTGTTGAACTAGGCGCAGTATTCAAAACCGTCGGCGAGGCCTACACCATTGCTGCATTGTTCCTCAAGTTGCGGCAAGAACACATACTCAATTGGAGACGTTTCCTTGCGAATCACTGGATCACACATCATACACCCCTGAATTACCATCATCAGACTTTCATCTTTTTCCAAAACTTTTTTTTGTGGTGAGCGCTTGGAAAATGATAACATTTTGGAAGAAGCAGAAACTTACTGTCTCGACGAGATCCAAAAGATAGGGGAACGACTTGACCAACGCTAAATATTTATGGCGACAGCGTTAAAAAATGAAAAAAGGTTATGCTTTAGTTTGTGATACAATTTAGATTCATAAATAAAGTTTCTCTGGTGCCATTCTCACTTGAAAAATGACCCCCGTTATCAACTTGTCAAGTCTGAATGATTCCAAGAACTTGAAATATACAAAAGTTATAACATTCTCTGTTGGCGCTGTATTACAGAGAATAATTAAAATGAAAGGTTTTCGGCTTGCTAGCTTCACCAATCTTACAAAAGCGGACACAAAAATGGATATAAATGCCTTGACGAATAGTGCTCTATATACCAGTACAGAAATACAAAGAACAGAGCTTGCTTAGTAAATAGTAGAATTTACTCCGTACAGCTGGGATAGCGTGGTGGTGATAGCTTTCATTGTCAGGTAGATGCTCATCTGCCGGAATGTAAGGATATATTGAAAGTTGATTAGTGGGAGAGGGTGGTGTCTGCATCCTTGAGCTCTAAGAGCTAATACCCCTGCGAGCGGGGGAGGGGGGTTATACGGCTAGAAGGAAGGAGCACGTCCCTGATAATTTTTACACCAGGATAGAGCAATATATACAATTTTCTTGGAAACAAACAATAAAAAACATGGCAGACTTCGGATCTAGGGGAGCCTAGAACTCCTTGCTTTCTCTACGAGTAGATCCGCCTTTGGTAAATGTATAGAAGTGTTTTGGGTAATCCGCTTTCGCATAAGTCCCATTTTGTCATTGGTGTGGTATTATGGGTGATCTTGATCTGCTTTATACATTTTATGAACAGAACAAAATGAATGAATTAAATATAGGTCAAACCTAACTCCAGCAGATATGTTGGATACATGACAATATCATGCAGTGACCAAAAAATGAACGGTCTATCTAAACCGTAGCACATGCTCAATGATGTCGCTTAACCGCCGATTGATTACCATCTGATGACTGAGACTCAGAACTCTCTTGTATATGCCTTTTGCAACAAGTGGCGCATTCCATCTGCTGACCAGGATTAGAATCAATGGTTCGACTTTCATTTTGGGGTAGGTGTCGTGCTTTGAAAATCTCGCCCCCTCCCTGTTCTCGTTTACAACAAATAGGATAAGCTGCATTCGGGTTTTTACAGGAAACTACTCCGGAACCATTCTGGTCTACTAGTGGCCAATCGCAATGTGGGGCTGAAATCAATCAACCTATCAGGCTGAATCAGAACAGTTTTGGGCTGATATGTGCAACAAACTGAGTTTTGAGATGGAATTTCAAAAAAGTTCACGTGCCCTTTCCAGACGAAAACCTGTTTCTTGGGCGAACCTAACATGTATATCAACAATCTGATGATAGTTTTTCACCAACACCCTTAGAGTATCATACTCCTTATAGAAGAAACTTTCCAAAAATCGCTGAATAACCAGAAATCTCGACGAAAACCCATTTTTTGCAACTCAAATTACCTAAGTGCAAGTCGCATGCTTGCCAGGACGGGAGACAAAAAACAAATTTCGCATTGAGAAACTAACTAAAAGTATATTTTTTACTATATACAGAACTGAATAAGGGCATATTATTTTTATTATATTTTAAGCTTCCTATCCAAAGGTTAAATGCCTCAACCATAACATAAATAAAACTGTTTGCTATTTTAGAACGGAAATAAATATATCCGTGACGTTCAATTTAAATGTAAAAATCCATCTCATCTTATGACATTTAATAAATGTCAGTTCCGATAAATCAAATAGAATCGAAATGTTTTTTTTTCATTCAGAAATTAAATGCTAAAGCTTGCAGAGATATATTAAATAGGTAAACATACAGTAAAGTGGCCTAATTTGGGATACTTTTTCTTAATTCAATTTTCTGAGGTGAAAAACAACTTTTGTAATTATTTGTTTGCGCTCAAAATGTGCTATTACTCAAATAAAAATACGTGATGCATACTAAAACATTTATTTTACCCGTAAGCGGCATAAAAAATAGGAACAAGTAATAAAACTGCACTTTGTCAAATGAAATTGTGTACCGTAAGCAATATCAGGAATCTATTCTTCCAAACAAAAATTGCACACGTAAGCTTTTTTTGTCACTACCAGGACAGTCTTCGTGTGGCCATCTGAAGAAAATTGAGCACTGTACCCAGTTTTCTTCATGTTGGTCGTCTGAATAACGTGCAGTGCAGAAAATACACTCTACGTCACTCTCTTGCTCGGCATCTCAGTCGTCTTCATAAGGAACATTTCAGAGGATTCACGGCTGCTACTTGTTTTTTTCCTTTCAGGTTGATGACTCTAGCCACCTTGGATTGTACTGTGGTGATACCCAGTTTCGTCAACATTATAAACTCTCAGTGGATTAAAATTTACCTTCTCCATAGCTAGTTCCAAAATATCAAAGAATCTGGTTTCTCAATGATAGATTAGGATGACGTCTGAGAAAATTGGGAGCAATTTTTTACCGGCATTACCGTCTCCTTTTGAGAAGGGATGGGAAATTTTACTTCTTATAGCAGGCTGGTGTGCCAGTCTGCAAATGTCTGCAAGTTATAGACCATAAAATCTTCAGTCCATTTCCTAACAGTACTGTACCAAGTCTTCTTCCATTTCAGTTCCGACCCATCCGTAGTGTGCAATTGTGCATTGCTCTACCAAGTACTCGTATTTGCCATGTTTGGTTCCAGAGTCGACTTTGGAACGTTGAAGCAGTTTAATGCCTTTAAGTAATAAACTCACTATTTTTAACTGCCTCTACAGCTTTTTCCATGTTCTCTGGATGCCATTTTTTATGTGGGAGTCCCTTCTTAGGCATTTTACTGGAAGAAATGCAAAAAATTGTATTTTGGGACACATATAATTGGGTTCCTAATTTTGGATATCCAGTTTTAAGACATTTTGCCTATCCAAGATTAGGCAACATTCATGTTCCAAGGATATGTGATTGAAACAAAAAAACGTGACAGAAATGTTCGATTCAGATACTTGGGCTCATTCTAAAAATATTGTAGTACATTTATGCCAAATAGGCGACTCTATACTTACCTACAAGCAATAAGTTTGAGCGCCGCAAGAAAATAAACAAGGTTCACAATTTGTAATTCTATATTCTCTATTCGACATTTTGATAAGCATTTTAACCGAGATTGATTATATCCAGTTACAAAATAGTTATTTGAATAGTCCACCTATGAACATAATTTTAAAGTTTAAACAAATTTTCATTGGACTTCAAATACCTGGATATCCCAGTTGACGCAATTTCATTACGTTTCGTCTGAACAAGATAAACAGGAGACCGAAGTGGCTCGAGAAGTTGGGAAGCTAAAAACTTCTAACTACGTTTACCCACTGGCAAAACGATGGTACTGTACGACATATAGAATTACCTCACAGGACCGGCACGGGTATTACGTATCTTGAAAAGTAACACTATGCCAATTTTTTTTACATTATATTGGTTTTTGTGAAATTATGTACGATTTTATACAAGACGTTAACTTAGCACCAGCGATGGAGACGTTGTGAACTTGTTTTGTAGTTGTACGTGTTGCCTAAATGTCATGAGGCTTCAGTTATGGTTCTCATGTGATGTAAAATCTGCTTCAGAAGTGGCACTACTACAGGTAACGGCAATGCATAGGTGCATAGTGAGGATTTGTGTAATAATAATATGTGTTGATGGTAATTCCGTTGGATTGTTGTCTCAAATACACTTATTTGAAATTCAAAGTTAGAAATTAGTTGCGCTTCCACTTTTTCTTATCCATTCTGGAAATTGCATATGCAAAGCTGAATTTCAAAAATGAGAGAGATAAGAAATAATTACATTCACTGTACAACATTTTTGAAAACGCAAAAAAAACTTAAAAAATCGTGATTGATAACTTTGAACATAACCTGTCTTCCGAAAGGACAGCATATAAATAACCCGTCGGGCACAGCTGAGAGATATACTTCATTGGCAGAATATTCAGTAATGATTTCCTCACACAGCAAATATCACTGATTCTAGACACATGCAGACTAATACATGCAATCATCCAGATGCGATCTTGTTATTCAACCAAATAACCAACTTTCTGCTCAGGGATTCAGAGATGAAAACTACAGACCGCTCGCCTTCACAACACATATGCAACCAACAATGCATGTATACGTGTAGTTGAGCCATTCCTCCATAGATGGACGCTCACAACGATCCTAGTGAGCAAACGTGAAATGACTGTTTGCACCCTAAAAACTACCTAGTCTGCAAGATGATAAATGTTTTTTTGACGTTTTATAGATTTTTACATAATACCCATGCGGCTCACCGGAAACATTACACCCCAAGAAGATACTTAATATATCTCAAATACCGGTTT